CGGGCACTGGGCATGTCTCGCTCTCCGACGAAGATTCTGGACCTGAGACACCAGATTCTGAGCAGGATGTACCCGTCACAATTACTACGCTGAAAACTGGCGCATTCGCGGGGTTACCTTTCCCACATCTAAGTGCCAGGGCCAATGCGCTACATGTTGTGAGAGAGCACATTTCGACTTATCTCATCACCCATCCACATCTCGACCATGTCTCGGGCTTCGTCATCAATACAGCAGCTTTTCACAATACATCTCGACCCAAGCGGTTAGCAGCACTACCATTTACCATCAACGCGATCAAAAACCACATCTTCAATAACATCATCTGGCCTAACCTTACGGACGAAGATGGAGGCGTGGGACTAGTAACTTTCCAACGGCTTGCAGAAGGCGGTAACATTGCTCTGGGTGAAGGAAGCTCAAGAGGCTACATCGAAGTGTGTGACGGCTTAGGAGTCAAGGGCTTCAAAGTAAGCCATGGCCACTGCATGCAGGGACCTGGCCATGTACACCGCGGATCGAACGCCAACCTACTGGAGACTTCAGATCGGCAAAATGCCAACCCTTCTCAATCGTATGGTCAATCAGACGGACTTGAAGGTCGTTCACAAAGCTTCTCCATGACTACACAAAGCGCACCCGGCACTCCAGGTTTTAGCGGAAGCACAGAAGCCGGCCGACGAGCCAGCGGTGTCACAGTTCCTCAACCCCAGCAACCGCAATCGCAAGATCACTGTGTGATCGACTCAACCGCCTACTTCATTCGCGCCGAATCTACCCTCACGACCCCAAAACGCGAGATCCTCATCTTTGGCGACGTTGAACCAGACTCCCTCTCCCTCTCCCCACGTACGCATCAGATATGGACGGAAGCAGCTCCGAAAATCGCCGCCGGCACTTTGAAAGGTATTTTCATAGAAGTCTCATACACAAACGCGCAAGCCGACGCCGTACTTTTCGGACACCTAGCGCCCCGCCATCTACTCGAAGAGCTCAGTTCCCTCGCTGCCATGGTGAAAGACAGTAAAAAGCAGCACGAGCGCGACAAAGAAGAGCTCCGCTCGCAGAAGAAAAAGAAGCGGAAGCGAGCCAGTGCAAACAACAACCTCCAGCTCGAAAGCCTGACGTCCGTCGAGGGCGGTAGGAAAGCCAAGATGGGCGGCTACTTAGGTGGAGTAGGCAAAGGGATAGATTCCCCAATTTCGACAACAAACCACTCGCAGACCGACGATGAGACAATGAGCGACTTCCCGCTTTCGAGAGGTGACACGGGGACGAACACGCCTGTTCCTTTCCCACCGCCACTGCAACATCATCAGTCCCTCCAGCGGCAACAGGATCAACCACAGGATCAACAAAACGGGACCCCCGGGCCCCCTCCATCTCATCCTTCTGCACCAGCAGCGTTCGGTCTGTCGTCCGTCTCCGCTGAGCACAACCGCGCCATGCTCTCTGCGGCATTCGATTCTCCGCTCAAAGGCGTCAAGGTCGTTATCATTCATGTCAAGGATTCCTTCATGGATGGGCCGCTGGTTGGAGATCAGATTTTGAAAGAACTGAGGGAAGGGGAGGAAGCATTGCAGGAGCAAGGGAAGGGCTTGGGGTGTCAATTCGAAGTTAGCGCTGCGGGAGAGAGTTATTGGTTCTAATGGCGTTTGAGTAGGGTTTGGTCAGATTGGATTCAAGATGATCGGGCTAGAGAGGGGTGTGGTTTGGTGTTTTAGGAGGGAGCTTCGGCTTTGTCTTGGGAGGGTTCTTGATTACTTGAGGGTTACGATATATGTATGTGTTTGGGTGGCTACTCTGAGTATTTGGGGGAAAGCGCGTTGGGGTTTGGGGATATATGTAGCATCATGAGTTTTGATATACCACTGCCTTTGTTAACACTGCAGCAATCGCACGAGCTGCTGTTTGCGTTTAACCCTCATCCATAAAGTACCCAAGCTAGTCCAGTACCAATACTTCCTACACTCTTCGCCACCACTACATCACCTCCCAAACACAGGTTCCCTCCGCCTCGTCTGCCGTCGTAGCCACCACTCCATTCCATCAACAAGCGCCCTATTCCCAATCAGAAGCGCACCCTATCCACATCGTTAGCTTTGTTCTCAGTTACACTCCAACTCTACTATAGTCTCTCCCAACTCCAATAAACATACCGGTATACCAACAAACCACCACCCCGCAATCCACATCGCCGTATCCACCGTATAAAACGCGCCCACACACCCGCCAGCCCATAGATTCACCGTCGCACAGCTCATCAGTGTGCGTGTTAGGGGCGCGAAGCGGTGTCGTGCTCGGGGGCGGTGCCAGAGGAAGAGCATGAGGGTGTGGAGGAGGATGTTTGACTATGATAGGTAGATTAGTACGTCGCTTCCGTAGTAAGTAACCTTGGAAGGTGGAGAAGGGGGGAAAGAGACGGGGGCATGTAGGTAAATAGCATGAACGAGGGAGCTATCATATTCAACGTACAGGTATGAATACACTAGTAATGTAAATAACATTGAGGTCATGGATGTTGAGCCCGCCGATAGCCATGAGTGCGCTGCATGCGTAGGCCATCACCGTGCCGGTGGCGATCCAGTATGGAATTGGATTCCAGTTGTCACATGCTATGCGTGCTGTCCGGGTTCGTTGCAGTACTAGCTCTGAATCTGTGTCTGTCTCCATGGTGGACTGGTTATAGGGGATATAGTGAGGAGAGGGCGTGAGGGCATGCGCGGCGGTGCGAGTTGTGAGGTGAAGGTAGATACATGGCGAAAGACGCCAGTGGTCAGCCACATGATGTATCAGCTATTACACCGTTAGTCTACTATGTAAAGGGTCTTGACTATTTGTGGTCGTTGTTCGTCCCTGAACCCGGTTTGACGATGGGCTCCCGATGGGTACCATGGTACTTGCCTGGAATGCCGAATGAGCGATGCGCCTTCTCTCGGTATATGCGCGGGTTTGATCGCGTTCCCCGCGTTTGGAATTTTTGGTCAATCGCCTGGCTCGTTCTTTCTAACCAAGTCAAATGGAAAGAGTACTCACTGCACATGTCGTGTCCATCGCCAATGAATCCCTCATCGTCATCACCAACACCACCACCACAATTACGACCCCTATCAATAACGAGGCTATCGAGAATGTATATCGATAAAATAAGCGATCTCGAGGATGCGATCCTGCTATCCCGTCTTCCAGACGAAGAGAGCGCACGCGATGCATCACCACCCGCACAACTACCACAGCCACAGAAGCCGCGCTGCGCCGGGTCCACCACCACAAGAAGATTTGCAGTGCTCGCAGCCATTGCGTTCTATATCGGGGCCGCTGTAGGAGTCTATTACGTCGATGATATGGAAGAACTCTTCCTCTTGCTGTTGTGGATTTTCATGATACCTGTACGCCCAGTCTCCAACAGTTTTGTTTTCATTCATGATTATTCTTGTTCTGAGCTAACCCACATGTACCGGTAGATGACCACCATCTGTCTTTTCGGAGGCTTTATCCTGACACATGAGAACGTCCCCAAAGATACCTCGCTGCTCGCGCGCTGTGTAATACACTCCTTAACCGGAGGCGTCTACATCGCGAGCTGTGTCTGGATATACATGGCGCGAAAGAGAAGTCCGGAAGAGGAAAAAGGTAGCTTTGGTATGGATATGGCCGGATACTCGTTCTTCATCTTGCCGGTAAGTAATCATCGTCCATACGAGGGGTGGCGTAGAGAAGGCATAGTGGTGTGCTTGCTAACGCGTTTCTTGCTGACAGATGGGATACTTCGTGTTGAACCTGGCCGTGCTTCTAGCTGTGACGGTATGGAATAAACAAGATGACAGTACAGTACCCGAGTCACGAGCGGGGGAGCCTTGCTGCTTGGGAATGATGGTACGAGCAAGATGAGCAAGAAGTAAAAGGTTTAGTAGACACCTGGGGGTATCGAAAGAGTAACGCGCGTTCCCTCGGCACATGGACAGTTACTCGTGCGTTGTGACTTTTCTGTAGCTTTCACAGTGAAATTGAGCATTAAATATCTGATTGTTTCATTGTTTCGCGCAAAAGAATCCAAGCCTTTCCACCACATGCATTGCATTAATCACACAGAACTCTTCCTCACACGATGCTACCACCATATTCAGCACGTAACATGCATTTCAACTACGGTAGTAACCTAGGAAGCAGATATGACGAAGAAGGCGACCTCGAGTCCGCGTCCTCCTCACCTCTTCAATTCTACACGGAGAACCAATTCCGCGCACTGCCGCCCACACAGCGCGAACTGATTCGAAAGTCACACCGGCGCTCGTTCATTCGGTCACCACCAGCAATCATGATGCTTTTGATATTCCTTACCGTAGCTGCCGCAGCACTTTATAAAATGAATCACGATATCACCGAGGTCATGTTAATGTGGGCCACCTTCGTGCCGGTAAGTCGCTTCTCTATGCCCTTCTCTTATCTAGATACGTCAAACCCAAATGAAGAAGTTCTTACTGATTTATGTGAGCAGATGGCAGCGATATTATTGCTGTTGGGGTGCTTGATTGCACACCATAAGCTTCCTAAGGATATGTCGTATTCGGGTCGATCTGCCATTCATCATTTCACGGGAATGACATACGTTGCAGCCTGTATCTTGGCGTTTATGCTGCAAGAAAAAGATCAAGATAATAAAGGGAACTTTGCATTAGAAATAGGGATGTCTTGGTTTTTTGCCCTGCCGGTAAGTCTTTCCCTTTCGCGGTATTGCAGGAAACATTTTGCGCGCATTGAACATTCTTACTAATGCACTTCTTCGTTCGCAGATTGGGTTCATCATCTTGAACATCGGGATCGTGTTGCTTGCCAACGCATGCAAAAAGACAGAAAACGAAGATTCGTTCTAATCATCAGAAGATGTGGGGTACTGCCTGTGGCTGTTGGACGATTGTTGACAAGAAAGGCAAGAAGGAAGACAAAGACTTGACGGGCACGCGAGGTCAGATGAATTGCATGAGATGGCATTGAACAGATCACGAAATGAATGCTTTGGTATTGTAGCATGCTACTATAGACGGCTCTGAGGATGTATCGGTTACTTTAAGCATAAGTTCGCTGCCTGTTATTGGGTTAGCAATGTGTGGATCAGAACAGGAATAGGAACCAGCGTACGCGTATAATTCCTTGCCATCGTCATAGGGGCGCGCAGGTGACCCAGCATCGACCTCCTTGTTCACTGCCGCCCGACGTGAGATCGTTCTCTTTCTCTCCCCATAGATCGAGGCTGAAACCCAAAGCAACCACATGATCCCGGCAATGACTCCGTATGCGATGATCTGGCCTTGACTGGGAGCAAATCCGGTGAATGCGGGTGCATCCGATGCAAGCAGCAGGCCGAGGCCGCCGTTGATCATGCCCAGCGTGATCAGAATACGTCCCAACCAGAGGTGACCATACGACCAGATAGTTCGGCGACTATATTTCTTGAACTTGAGGTGGTGGACGAAGCCAAGGATGGGTTGGAAGAAAAGCAGAACAAACACGATGATACCAATAATCGGGTGGTAGTTGTCGAGCATGTTGACTGGGATGTTGTTGATCATCCACACGCCGAGACCGAATGCTGCGATGTACACAACATACGCAAAGAGTTGAAATATGCCATGGACGATCCAGACACCGCGAAACGATCCTAGTCGTATAAGAATCGATCCAACTGGGAAGAATAAGACAAAGGCCAGGGCTGCGAGGACACCATGGGCTACGATGATCTTATGTCGTGATTCTGATGAGAAGCCGCTACGGCCGCCGCCAAATGATGAGCCGAAATCGTTGTCGCCGTTGTCACTACCTCCTCCAAATCCGCCTGGACCGTACTGACCACCGGGGCCGTACTGCGCAGAAACTGTGGTTGCTGCTATCATCTCATCAATTTAATCCTCGATTTTCAGGATTGGCTTCATACCTAGGCTAAGCAGCGTCGCTCGTGTACTAAAAGTCATAGTGAAGATGTGGAATGAGAAAGACCAACGCAAGCTCGATTTGAAGGTCTACAGATCGATAGAAAGAAATATTGGATAGTTAATCTATTCTTACCTGCGACGGCTGATCTAACATCATCACCCACAACACAAGCCGAACAGCGCCAAATCGATGATTCACGTCTGGGAGTGACACAGATGACGCTGTTTAGAACAGAAAATGGTCGAGCTTACGCGTTTCCGCAGCTTTTTCGTGTGTTTCGAGTGGTGGACATTGACATGCTAGTCTGACTTGGGGCCGGGGTGCACATGGTGGAGAGCCGGAAGTAAGATGTCGGCGAAACATGTTGGGAAAGCACCGACTCTCATGATGTGACGAATGCCTCAGGCAGAAGATGTCGTTGACGTCGATACAGGATCAGTAAGGTCGTCTCATGGAGGCCTGGATGGTTCAGCCATCCTGAGCACGTGTTTGCGCGACGTGCCTGTAGCCTTGCGCAGGCACGCGTCTGACTCGCTTGACTTGGCTAGCATTAGCATGATCCTTCGTTCGCGGGTGTAGGCAGTGACTAGGCGACAAATCATTGAAGCTGCTATTCCAGGTTTGCTGCGAACATGGCCGCTGGTCGGGTGCCGAACTGATAGCGAGAGGTGCGATCGCGATTACTGGTCACCCGTGTGGCTAGTGTGGCAGATGACGTGAGTAATGACCTTGGGAGCCTGTGCGAATGTCTTTCTCATCAAAAACTTCATCCCATGTTAACACATAGTATAACTTCCGGGTTCACGTTCACCGTCTAGTCGACATGGCGGTCGGCAACGTGATGTGGCATCCCCACGCAGCGCATCCCGTCGCCCTCGACCCCATGGCGGTCAGAGCGCGGTCGAGGTTTTCCATCCGCCCTCCGCGATCCTGGGCTGTCGCATGGCCAGGCACATGTCGGTCGTTCAACAGGTACAAGTCCTGCATGCGCTTGTCTGTAGTCATTTGTCCCCTGAGTTCGCGGTGACTGTTGCATAGCCCCAGTTTGCAGGAGTCCCGTGGTAGTAAGAGAAGGCAGAATAGCGCACCGCCACGGTTGTGCACATCACGCGCGCGCCCTTTGTCCGTATACATGTCGTCAGAGTGGTGAGTCGAAGAAGCAAAAGAAGGTGAAACAAGGAAATTGCGATGAGTTGGAGCAAAGAGAGGTGAAGGCTCTGTGGAGACATGAGTTGTGCATGCCCGCCGCGAGGATGACTCCTGCAGGTCCCGAATTTCGGCGATGCCATGTGGCCAATCATGGGCGGGCACGGGTGCAATAGTGGGCCCGCATTCGCTGTCATCTAGGCTGTGATCTAGCATCTTCCTTCTCCCCGTCACACCATCGTGCGGCTCTGAGTCACTCTGCAGCCTACTGACATCCTTGACTTAGCTTGTACCTGCATACGTGATTCAATGTCATCCCATGTATATAAGGCTGGGTAGGTATCTTGCTGCAATGCTTGACTCTCCTGAGACTATCAGCCGCCTTTGCGGCTTTTCGCCCCACCACTCTCCATCTCCCCTCAACCCTATTATTACTTATTCACACATTCACAAGAACTTGAAATAGACGACATGGGCAAACGTCACAACAGAAAACGAACTAGAAGCCGTCCTCGGAACCGCAACAACAACCACGACAATTCACCTCCGCAGGTCATCAACCACACTCGAAGCGAGTCGGTCAGCACTACCTCTTCAACTCTCTCCGCAACCAGCTCCTGCTTCCATCCTCAAGGCTCCATTGCGAGTGCCAGTGCGAACCACTGGCAGCAAACCTACACCGCATGGCAAACCCGGCTTCGACTACAGCAGGAGCAGGAGCAAGAGTTGGAGACTCAACGACTGCGCATCTTTGGTGGACTACCGGAGGATGAGAGGACCTTGATGGAGCCGATGCTCAAGGTGGTCACGGATCTTTTCGATGGTTTCTACGATTACGAAGATCCGTGATGATTAGAGTGCTGGTTCTTTGCACATCTCTACTCCTTCGCATGGGCTTCCATTTCAACGGACGATACATGTTTTTACGACGAACACGACACGAATTAACGACCAAACCAACGATGACTCTGGTAGCCAGCCGGAGGCGTGGGATATCACCTGGGCACGGACTCGTAGCAGATCAGACAGCACCTGCGTCGGCCCAACTGGGCCGGCCCGCAAGTGTTGTCTGGTTGGTTCAACATTGCTCAGCCCTAGGACTCCGGCTTCGCGCAAAGGCGGCGGAAGCGAAGACAATGGTGGAAGAGACAGCTGGATGCACGCCTCATGCTTGTACTCGCTCGAGTCCCGAACTCGCGTGTACGTGCTATTGGCTAGAGCGTCGCTGTCTCTGAGGACGGCGGAAAGGAAAGAAGGACGCGCATGCGTATTGGTGGAGGAGTCATCTTGCTTGGAAGGAACGGTGTACATCTGCGGCTCTCTGCAGGGCAGACAAACGTCCGAGTAGTTTATCAATATTTCTTTAATTAATCTGGACTTCACCCAAACATTTGGCTTCTCTTGTGGCATTCATGAGTTCTTTCCCTAGCTGCAGCGAGCGTGCTTGCCCTGCGCCGCCTCTCATCGTCAGGGTCCAGTTTTGTTGTCTTACTAGTCCGCATACAGCGTCTCGACTAGTTGTAGGCAAGAGCTTCCAACCTTCCTCACTCTCACTTCTACCAACCGTTCCCAAGCGCGATTCCATTCGCAACTGCTATCGTGCGCAACACCTGACACTGCGCAACTTCGACCGAGTAACCCCGAAGACATCAGTAGGTAATAGCCAAGCGCGTCCTATACAGTTCACTGCACTGACAACTGACTGCCGATTAGCTCGCGATGGCAGATACTCAAGGGTTCCGCTTCCTGGATCTACCCAAGGACATCCGCCTGGAAATCTACGATCTTTTCCCTGCCGTAACACGTCGCTACACAGTACAACTACCACATAGGCCATTCATTACACATAGGCCATTCATTACGCCCTTCAGCCTGGTCTTAGAACGCATCCCGTGCATGGAACTACTCACCATTTGTCGCCAGATATTCGACGAAGCTTCTTCCATGCTAGGGTCAAGGTTGGCCGGCCAGCCAGTTCGTATCTTCGCCTACGTGGAAGACTTGTGTGATACCGTCATCAACATCATATATCGCTATACCTCACCTGGCTGTTCACACGAGAGCCTGACAACACGTATCGAGCGCTACAGTCCTGGCCGCCAAAGTGGCCTCGACGATCAGGATGTGCCCGAAGTTTCGATCCAGGCTCTACGTCCCAATACAACCGCAACTGGCTCGAAGCTAGAAGTCGAGATAGCTCTTGAGCTTGGCGGTGGATTCAGACATCCTTCCCAGAAGTTGCAGCTCATGAGGAATCTGATTCGCATATTCTACAAGTGGATTGTTGACAGCGGAGAGATGCAGTTCTTTCGCTACGTCCCCGTCAATATCACAATCCGACCCAAGCCGACAGCAAAAATGAGCGAGAAAACGATTAGCGATGGGCGAGTATTCGACATCGAGGAATACCCGGAGGAGTTTTGGCTTGGTAAGACGTGGACCTGTCAGGTCGGTGAGTGCATGACGGAGGAGGAGTGGCAACGCAACTGGGAGGAAGGCAAGCACTTCGGGAAGTTGAAGCGCATCTAGCAGCTTCGTGACTTCGCAGGAGATAATGACACACGAGAAGGGGTAGCTGGATTGAAGTTACAAATGGTTAAAGCATCGCTACCGGATTACAGTGTAATGAACCGCCCACTGAGGACGTTCTAGTAGGGAGACCTATTTCGGGTTTCTTGGAATTAACATAAAAATAAGTGTTGTAGATTCAGAAAGCTTTTCATAAATATTTGTTCTCTGTTTGCACGTGTAATTGAAAGGAGGCTGTGAGAGTTGTTTATGACGAAGCATTGATAATCGTCTCGCAAGATATCCAAATACCACTTCTTTAGCAACCAGATTCCTGGAACTATCTCAAAGTGAAGGCTTGAGAATGCAGCATGATATTGCTCCAACATCCAAAGTGACCAAATTCGTCATTGCCTTGACGGCACTAATACCCCCATCCTCTTTCTCCTCCACCGTTAAACCAACATACAGACCATCGCATCCCTATCACTATGAACGGCAACCCCAAAATCGCAAAGCGCAGCTAATAAAAGCAGGTTTACGTACCCACCGTGCGCTACAAATCCGGCTGAGCGGTCGCCCTACTATCGTACGACCCTCGCCAACGGGTCACCCCACACGCATCCCGGCAATGCCCGAACACGGTGTTCTCGCTGCACATGTCTCGCCACCGAAACCTTTGCAAGTACTGTGCGTAGGAGCGTATCAGACGATTCCATCGTATATTCGCTGGTTTTGACCAATGGTTTTGCGGATTGTCTGTCGTGTCTCACGATCCCAGGGACTGGGTTGGAGCTTTCGCGTGTTGGTGTGATGCGCATGCCTTGATGTTAGTATCATGGTATCACGCGATTGACCTGTGTGAATTGAGGAATGGCATCGTCGGTAGGCACCGACACCGTGAGTATTGCTCAAAGGAATCGTGATACATATAAGGTACATGGGTTTCTTCGTTGTTATTCATCATCTACATCCAGTCACATCCATCTTCAGCCATACAACTCTATCAACCTTCAACACCTCATATCGCACACACAATAAGCGTCTTGCATACAAACCTTCCAAGTCCTTGCTACCTACTACCAATCATCAACCATCCTACCAAAGAGAACCGAGCAACCATACCCAACCAACCAACCCACCCAAAATGCCAGCAGTACCACGATCCTACCTCCCCTCCTTCGCCGCCTTCCTAGGTAAGTCTCACCACCCCATCTCCTCTTCTCCTTTCTCAATCAAATTCAACATCTGACTAACAAACCACCCCAGCATTCGGCATAACCTACACAACCATCGTCGCAGCAAAAGAAGGCGCAGCCGTCGACGGCGCACGAACCCGCTGGCAAGACCAACATGCACGAGCAAGGAACGCATTAAGTGGGGGTATGACTCTCGCGGATATGGAGAGGAAGTAAACAAAAGACGAAAAGGGAAAGTTCAATTCCAGTGTTTGCATACTAGGGTAATAGGCGTTCTGGATGCTGGATACAAGATCCAAGGTATATATCAATTCATCAAATTCAACGTATGCGTATGCGTATCCACCTGGACAGTGTGATGCTTTTCTTTCTAATGTTTCCAACACAAAGCATGCACCCAACTCTCCGAATATACATTACCGTGCCTCGCCGTCCGCCCGACCACCATTGCAACAACATACCCCCACCCCATCTCCCCATCTCCCTCCACCACCACACATCCCTGCAATTCACCCATACAATCTCCATTATACCCCCAGGATACCCCCCTATAACACTATCCCCAGTATACAGTATACGCAACGGGAGTCAATGATAGTACCCGGCGCATGCGTCCCTCGTGTTTTAGACCACTGTTGTTAGAGGGACCACATTCCTCATCGTAACGAGGAATGCGCAAGGTGGAATGTGACGTGGAGTAGTGTAGGAAAATATATTAAAAAACGGCTGTCGGGATGCGATATCGGTATGCAGGGTAGACGTGCATTGGGGCAGGGTGCAGATACGGGGGAGGAAGGACGGAGGGTTCGGGTGGTTAATCTGGGTAAAGAGTGTAGGGCAGAGGCGGCGTGGGGGGTGGTGGGAAGGATTGAGACCGGGCGGATGGATGGATGGACGGAATATCAGTAGGCTACAATAATGGTACGAGGAAGTCATCACAGTCAAGCATGCAGGACAAGAAGTAACTTCATCACTATATTCAATCCCACATCTGCCTCTACGTAACCCCAATTCCGACTACTTCATCAGCCCCCAACAGACCTTGGGGTCAGAATATATCTACAAGAAAACCCATTGCCCGTTGAACGCCATCCAGAACAAGGATCAAGGTACGCATGACGAACCATCGCGCAGTACCGAAAGAACAAAGGAAAAGCAAAAGAAGGCCTACTACTCGCTGATTGCGGCTGAAACCCAAGTCGCACGTCGGAACAGCCGACTTGGATATATATGATCAAACAAAGGGAATCGTTACAATCATGTAGGACAGTCTATGAAAACAAAAATCGCTGCAGTGTTTGAGAAGGAAAGATCAGAATGGGACAAATTGTAGAGTCATTGGCTATAAGTCGAACGACGATGTGATGTCGGCTAATCTTTGCATGGCGGGGCTCATGGCAGCAATCTTCCTCGCCAGACGCTCTGCTAGAAGTGCCTCGTTCGCTTCGTTTGAGATGACTAGCTTGTAGTGTGCGAATGCCTTCTCGGGGTTGGTGAAGAGCGCCTCGTGGTCCTCAAGCGGTGCGGCGGTAGTGGTGGAGGGAGCGGACGAAGAGTAGTATAGGTCGTACTCGGCATCTACCTCTTCGGTCTCATCGACGGCGGCGGCGGTGGGCTCAGACTGGACGGGGCGCTCGATGACGGGGTAGTCAGCCTTGACCTCCTCGACAGTCGAGTCGTCCTCGGCGTTCAGGATAGCGCTGTATCCCTTGCCAGACATGGCCTCGATGTCGAGGGGGTTGGTGGGACCCTCAGGCAGCTCAGTGACGGCGAAAGCAACGGGTTGCTGGAAGTTGAAGCCATTGTTAGCACCCCAGTTGTTGCCATTGTTGGTGTTCAGGTTGAGCATAGCAAAGTCGAGTTGGGGCTCGGGGACCATGGTCATACCAACGTGGGTGTTCTCGGCCTGCGACATGCCGTTGAACTGCTGTTGCTGCTGGAACTGAGTGGGGGCAGGAGCAGCTGCGACGGGTGCTGAGGTCGATGGCATTGAGGTCATGGGAGCCTTGGCTTGGAGCGACTCGTCGCGAGAGAGCTCCTCGAGGAAGGGAGTGAAAGCCTGGTGGCGGAGCAGACGCTCGATGAAAGCGCGCGAGCGGGCATTCTCCTCCATGAGGAGGCGGTTCTGGGAGCGGAGTTCGTTGGCCTCGTTGACCTTCATGGCAACCTCGCCTTCGAGCTGACCAATGTATTCTGGCTGTGTTAGTTGATATTGCACATGTAGTGGGGTCGTGATAGCTTACCCTTCCTTCTCGAGCGGAAAGCGCGAGCGGAGACCTTGTTACGGAGCTGGCGGCGCTCCTTGGAGCTAAGCTTCTTGCCCTCCTCGGACGCAAGCAGCCTCTCATCCTCATCCATGTCCTCCTCGTCCTTCTTTGCGCGGATGATGTGGGGGAGGAGACCTTGGTTGTCGTTGGCCATGTTGGCAGACGCGTTCTGGCTGTCGGCCCGGATCTGTGCGACGACGCGGGTGATCATCTCCTCGGTGTGGGCGTCGCTGAGCGGGCTCGAGGTCTTGCGGCTGGCCGAGCTAGTGGAGGCCATGCGGTTCTGTTGCTGTTGTTGCGCTTGCTGCTGCTGCTGTTGTTGTTGTTGCTGTTGCTGTTGCTGGAGGGCCTGCTGTTGCTTCTGGTGGGCCAACTGCTGTGCGCGCTGCTGCTGGGCCTGCGCCTGCGCCTTGGCCATGGCAGCCTGCTGTTGATGCATACCAGGCCAGACCCTGACGTTGGTGACCTCCTCTTGTGTGATGGCGCTGGGGTCGACGAAGTCGTCTTGGGCGGCCTCGTTGAAGACGAAGCTGTTCTGGCGGTAGTCGACGGCCATGTTCATGCCGACGTCCATGGGCAGGCCGTTGTTCCAGGCGCCGTCCATCATGGAGTCGCCGCCCATCATGGCCATCTCGTCCAAGCCAGTGGACGAGAACATGGGGAAGCCCGTGTTGTAGCCGGCGTTAAGGCCGGGAAGGGAGTTGGTCGGCAGGCCGGTTTGCTGCTTGAAGCGCTCGTACTCGTGGCTGGGCTTTGCGGGGGTCTGGAGGTCGTCGTCGATGTTTGTGCTGGTGGGACTGGCCATGGTCGACGTCGCACTGGACTCCCGCTTCAGAGTGGCAGGCTGCGTGGGCGAGGGCATCTGGCCAAAGTCGAAGAACTCATTGGGGTCGACGCATTGGTTCGGGTGGCCGTTGAAGGGGGCCATGGTCATGGCAGGCTGGACGGCGGTAGCCATGTCGCTATTGTTTGTTCGACTGCTGGGGAGTCGCTGATCGTGTTTGAGCGGTCCTTAGGCAGGCAAGCGGCAGTCTTGGGGTGTTGTGTTGCGGGCACTGGGTGCGTGACAGGAGCGGTTAGCCTGCTGGAAAGTCGTCGTCAGCTCGACGCTGGGCCGGTTCTGCCGGAAGTGTGGCTGTGCCGATGGATCCGCGCCTCCTGCGAGCACGTTTGTTGCGATAGAGCGAGTGTATTGGTGGTGAGAGGATTGTTGTTGCCGGTGTTGATGCAGAGTGCAATTGTCGGATGCGAGTATGGTGGAAGAGAGGCAGAGCGAGGGCGAGGATGGGCGACGGCGGCTTCTTTGCTGGGGCCCTCGCCCTTGCCGTTTCAGACTGAGGCGGAGTCCCCCTTCTCGAAATAGAAGGAAGCAGGCCCAACCCGGTTGGCTCGCTCGCCCGCCGATCACTGCCCTCCGCCCAGCAAACTTCGGCTCTTCCTCTCTCCTGAGCGCCGGGTCATCTCGTCGGCTTCACCATTCTTAGTACACTAGACACAATATCAGCATAATGCTAATTCTCGGATCTCTGCTGCCCCTCCGCGGTGCTTCCACGGC